CCCCGGCAGGAGGCGGTGGGCCCGAGCCCGGGCCGTTGGCCAGGACCTGTGGGGGCTGCCCTGACGGGGGCGCGGCCTCGGCGCTGCCAGCCGCGCCGCCGGGCTCAGCCAGGTCCAGGAAGGCCTGACGCAGCAGTGCCGGGCTTTCGCCGAGCGCGCAGCCCAGCGCTGAGGGCGGCTGAGGCGGGGGCTGCAGGTAGGTGGGCACCGGGAGCCCGCCAGGGGTTCGCGGCGGCCAGAACATGCAGAAAGGAGGATAGAAGGCGTCCTTGCGGCCCCCGGGCCAGAAAAGGCCGGACAAGCCGGCCTTGGGCGCAGCGCCCGCACCGCCTGCGCCCGCGCCCCCCAGGGCCTCCGCGGCGGCGCCCGCGTCCTCTTTCTTGTGGCACAAGCCGAAGGCCGCGGCCGCGGCCGGGAAGGTGTAGGGGTGCGGGAAGAGCCCGCCGCAGCCCGGGAACTTCTGCAGGACGCCCCCGAACGAGCCTTTGCTGGGCACCGGGATGACTGGATAGCTGCGCGGGCCTTTGGCCCCGGCCCCGGCGCCCGCCCCCGCGCCCGCGCCCACGCCCACGCCGGCCACACAGCCGCCCCCAGCGCCGCCCCCGCCAGTCCCCGCGCCGCCGGAAGCAGCGGCCACAGAGAGGCTGGCGGCTGCGGCCGAGAGGCTGGCTGCGGCTACTACGGCGGCCTCCTGCAACGAGTCCTCGTCGTCGTCGAAGCGCGGCCGCTTGTGATGGGCGTGCGGGGCACCCGCCAGCTCCGCCAAGGGCGGCGGTGGTGGCGGCGGCGGCGGGGGCGCACCCAGCAAGTGGGGGCCCAGCAGACCCCCGCCTCCAGCCACCGCGGCCGCGGCAGCCACCGCCGCCGCCTTGACAGAGCTGAGCGGGTGGCAGGCGGGGTGCGCGCCAGGCTGGGGCAGGGCGCGCTTGCGGCTGCCGCCGTTGAACATGGCCTTGACGTCCTCCCAGGCAAAGACCAGCTCGTCCTGGGGACTCTTGTCGGTGAGCTTGAGATGACGGCGCCACGAGTTGAAGTTGGCTGCGTCTGGCTGAGTGTACTTGGCGTCGGGCGTGCGGTGGGAGTGGAAAATGAACTTGTTGGGCGAGAAGTACATGTTGCAGTAGCTGCATTTGATGCACTTGGCGCGCGAGCTGTTGTAGCGCGCGGGGATGAAGCTGCCGCGGCAGCCCCAGGCGCACTCGTGTGACACGTCGAAGGCGAAATTGTCTGGCAGCTTGGGCGGCCTGTTTTCGCCCAGGAACGACTTGCACAGACGCTCGGCCTCGCGTTTGGTGATCATGCCGCAGCGGCGCGATGAGATGGGCATGGCCCCGGCACGCCGCAGGATCTCCAGTTGCACCGGCGTGCACTGCACACACGTGATGCCCAGCGCCACGCGGCGGTTGTGGATCTCGTTGTAGCTGAAGTTCTTGAGCAGAGTGTTGGAGATCTGCGCCAGGCACAGGCGCTCCTGCCCGTCGATCACCAACGACACGATGGGAATGCCGTAGAGGATCACCTGGCCCACCTGGTTGGGTTTGAGGTTGGCGTGCCCTGGCCGCGGCTGGCTCAGCGCGTCGGGCTGGAAGGCGCTCGACGGCGACGCCAGCAGGATGTCGTTGGGCCCCGGCAGCGGACTGGATGCCATCTCCGCCGCAGAACCCCGGGCCGAGCCCTACAGGTCTGCCTTGGACACTGGAAGGGAAAGGAGAAAGCGTTGACTTGAGCCTTTTCAGACTAAAATAGAGGGGTGGGGTGAGTCGCTAACCAAAGAATTAGAATAACTTTCTAAGACATGGTTATTACGGGAAAAAGTGACCAAGTGTTGAACACAAGAAAGTCATCTCTTAATTTCCTTCAAGGTCATCCTTTAGAAATGCAGGAATTTGCACTTCTAAACATTTAAAGTGAATTAACTGTGTATTTTGCTCAAAAGCAGTGAATTCCTAAGAAACCCAGGACCTTATCCCGGATTTATAGAAGCTGTTGGAATAAAATGGCTTGCCTGCTAGAAATTAGGTAGTAATGACAGTTGTAACTAGTACAGATTATAAAAGTTATGGAAAATGGGCTTGGCATAGAAACTCAAATTTAAAGAGATATAATTCTCATTTGCTTGGAGATAGATTGATTTTGGTTAAAAAGTAACCCCAAAAACCCTTTAAAAAGTTATTTTCATGGTGTCTGTGGTTTCCTTGGGGAAATTCATTATTGGTTGAAACGCAGGTCATTAAAGCAAAACGAAATCCCTTCTCCCTCATCCTTGCCATTAGATATTTTGTTACTGTAATTATAAATTTTTTTGAAAAAGTGAAAAATATACAATGTCGTATACACAGTTGCACCAAAATAGGATGTTTCAGTTTTTAAAAAACCTGCTTGCTGAACTGAGTGGTTCTGGTCTCAGATAGGTAGGTAGCTTAAAAACATGATTGAAGATGGTAATCGTTTAAAAACGGTTTTCCTGTCATTTCCATGACGATAAGAAAGTAAGTACAGGCAAGGGTGTTAAACCCAGAAACAGTACACAGAAATGAACAATTCTTGGGGATCTTCATTGGCAGACTTCAAAAGTCAAATTTTTTAGCTTGATGTGTACCACCTTCTGTGACTTTTTTCCCCTAATTTATTTCGATATCTCTATATCTTTATGAGGAAAAGCTGCCCCACCATATAGCTAATCGGAGGACTAGGTAATCTTTGGGAGTGTTGAAAGTCGAAATCCCAGGTTGAGCCTGCGGTAAAATTTCTAACTTCACCTCCAGTCAACAGAATGCCACAATGAGGGAAAATATTCAGTAAGTTGAAAATCCAGAAAAAGGAAGCGGAAAGAAATTTTTGCGACAATGCCACTAAGCGAAAACAAGGAAAGTGGCTCACTCCCTAGGAAACAAACAGTGATCTTTCCACAGCTACATTTCAAGCGCATTGGCCAAGGCTATGCTTTGCCCTAAAAAATCACCAGAGGCCATAGTATGGCCCCTTTTGGCCACGTACAGCGAGTTCCCTATTACAGTGCTTTCAGAGGGTACACGATCTTACTCCCTCACACAATTTCTTATCCGTGTCCTCTCTCTGGGCCCCTGTGGCATCTATAGAGCAGCCTCTGCCCTGCTGCCCCCTGGATCCTCAGCTCTCATTACATTCGGCGGCCTCCAGGAAGCTTGAACAAACCTCGACGCGATCAAAGGAGAGGAAAGCCTGGATTGTCACTTCGGGTGGATCAGAGACAATATTTCCAGGGGACAAGGCGTTACATGGCAGTTCAAGGCTCAGTGACAGCCGAGTCTGATACAACCAACACTAGCTTCGCCAAGTGGCCCTTCGATGCTCATTTCCCTTCCAAACAAGGTTCATATTCGCTTAATAAGACCCTGGGATAACTCCAACTCTCTCTCCCCAGCAAGGCGCGCAACTGGCCAGCCGGGGCGGGAAACTGGCTCTGCATTAAGGACTCGCAGCCTTAGCAGCAGTAGACCAGGCAGAAGCGTCCCCTCACTTTTACCCCAAGCCCTCCCAGAAACTCCTGTCAGAGCAGAGACACAATTAAGGTTTAGGCTGGGGCATTATTTTTTTGGAGGGGTGGGGAGGGGAGAAGAGACAATTAAAAGTTAGTTGAACTGAGAAAGGAAGCTGGAGAACTTCCCTATCCTGCCCAAGAGCCAAAGACCCCCCACCCCCTACTTAGTTCTCCCGACTCCCAAACCAGTCACCACGGAAGCCCACTGCTGCCCCTCAACCTAACGCGGAAAATCCTACCGCTGGGGATCTCAAATAGTGCACTGCAAGCTGTGTGCCGGATCGGGGCGGCCGGTTCCGGCAATACCTGGTAACCTCTGGGTGTCTTTAGGCGTGTGGCTGCCGGCCCATCTTCCGAGGGCGCTCGGAGGCGAAGCATCCAAGCAGGTCCTCGTATCCAGCGGGTGGGACTCCGGCGGGCTCCACGCTAAGATCTGGGCTCTCGCCCGAGCGAATGGCGCTCTAACCCCGGCCTGGGGAGAATGATGGCCTGAATTGCGGCGGGGCGTCCTCTCCACCGCAGAAAGTGTGGGCACGCGGAAACCTGGGGCAGGAGAGCCCCAAGTGGAGCGCAGTCTGACAGAGCCTTTCTCTGTCTCTGAACTCGTGTGGGACCGAGGGGACGCCACCCAGCGGGCAGGGTGACGTCACCATCTCCCTGACACTCCACATTAAAGGGCTGGCATGTTACAGGGAGGGAGGGGGAGAGCGAAAGCCAGCGTGAGCAATAGAGAGATCGTTTCTCAGCAGGCACGAAAGCTACCAACCTAACCAACTCGCAACTGACAACAACCTCCTCAACCCCTGAGTAAACTGCAGCAATGGTGCTGGAGCCGCAGATCTGATTTAGGAGTGGAAAGCGAGCAGTCTGCCTGCATCCCGGGACCTGGATCCTGGAGGCCCCGGATTCTAGAGGGAGGCCTCCAAATTAACTATATCCCTGCCCGTTATTGTCTCCTCCCCTCATTTCTGAGTCACCCTCCTTCATGAATGATCCCTCTGGTACACGATGCAAAGCTGCTCTGTGTCTCTGAAGACAGAATCCACAGTCAGCCGGAGAATAAATTACCTTCAGTGACTCCTTTAAAACGCTATGAAATGAGAAAACGGAGAGAAGTTTCCACATAGGGTGCCCAATCTAAAAACTTGGAGTGCCCCGACTTTGGCACATATGTTTGCTTTATAGGACACAACGCAGAGTCACTGCAGCCTTCTCTATTTTGTGGAGTGTACCATTAGGTGAGGACCCCAATATGTGCATGTGCACATCGATTTTCAAACTGCATTCAGAATTGTCCTCTAACCCATTTTACAAGATCCATACAGGCTACCTCTGCACAAGGAAAGGGTGGGGCGGGGAAGCAGGGAGGTCCCTAACATGGATCAGTCCTTGAGCAAGTTGCCAATTTTCCTGGAGAAATAAATAAATTTAATCAGGAAAACACGTAGAAGCATGCTCCCCTCCCCTAAAATAAAGACTAGGATAAGAAAACATTTCCTCATAGTTTCCCTAAATGAGGCACACCCTAGTATATTAATGAAGTGTCAATATTGTGCCTCCCAACTGACCAGCTGTTAAGACTAAAAACGACCACTGGCTAGTTTATCAGAAAGGAAAGAAACCATTCATTTGGAGTATGTTCTAAGAAGGATGCCGGCTCAGGGTGGGGTTGGGAAATCCTTTAAGTTTTTCCTTTACTGCCATAGCTGAATTTTCAATTGCTGCCTAGTGAAACAGTCTTAGCATTGTGGAAATGATGGAAAAACCTCTACCAAGCTGAAAGCCCACCCAGATTGTGTCATAGCACCAACAACACACCACTCCTAAATACAAGAGCAAAAACATGAAATCTTAACACTTCATCAAAGGTTAATAAACCCAAGGAAAGTAAATTGAACAAAAACGTGAGGGGCTTGTTGCTCAGGAGTTGTGGCTATTTTAAATTAATATCCTGAAAACACAGTTACAGAGCCATGAAAATGGAAACGTTTGGGCATAAGTTTCAACGGACAATGAAATAATTTTTCACCCATCTTCTAGTTTCTAAAGACATTCAAGGCACAAATTGGGCTTTGTCCTAAGGGGCTGAGATCAACCTAGTGCTCCCCCGCCAATACCCCAAAGCCTCCCATCCTAAAAATAAGGAAAACTCACACTTTCTGCCTACACAGCCCATTGGCCAAAAGCGCGCCATTGCCATTCAAAAATCCCTTCTCTCCGAGGCTGAAGGCCCAGTGCTCTTTAGAAGGTTTCAGGGCTAAACTGGTTCTTCTCCCCTTCTCTGCCTCCTCTCTGGGGTCAGGGGCTCCCACAAAGGGAAATGTTCCCGGTCCCCAGTCTGCCAGAAAGAAAGCTTGAGCCATGTGGAAACGAACCCTGGAAATGGGACTGATTTTAGGACTGAGAGCGGGAAGAACGGAGAAGTCCTATCACCTCACTAACTACCACAGGGAAATATCTGGTTGCTGCCGGGGAGGGAGCACTACAAGGTCTTCAGTTTTGATTGTATAGTTCCCGTTGTTACCCCACAAAGCTCCTCTTCCTCTTACAGATCTCTATCTTCTAAAAAAGAGTGTCTTCATAAACAGATTTATTTGAAAAGAGAAATGGGCCGAATCTTTGCCTTCCCTCCCATTCCAGGTTACCCTAAGGAGTGAATCCACATCTGGGTGGCACCGTAGCCACTTCCTTACCTGAATTTTAAAACAGAAACATTTACAAATTACTTCTGGGCTTACTGCATACAAGCCTGTAACTTTCTTCCCCAGTGCCCCCGTCCTACAGGACAAACAGGATATGTAACTTTAATAGAAAAAGGTTTCATTGTAAAGAGAAATGCGTAGTGTTAGGTTAAATAATTTTACACAATTCTAAGAATAGTACAGTATTTTATTTCCACTGTGAGTCTAGGGTGCCTGTTTAAAAGGTCAGGCCAATTATACTTTTTTGGAAGGTAAAAGTGGATAACAGTTGTTCAAAGACTTCACACATGCCCCCAGTTAATCTTGAGACCAGAGCTGGACTGCAGAATCACAGCCTGTTCGTATGTTTTGAGTCTGCGAGTAACCTTCTGCCACCCACTGTCTCTGTGACCCTTTGTTTTCTCCTCAGTTTGAACAAGTCTCCTGCTGATCCTTTGTGGAGTCCTTGCCAGTCCCTGTCCTGGCCCCTGGGACACTGTCAGGCTCAGGGAGGAGTCGGCGGCGGCGAGAGGAGGCTGGTTGAGCCCGAGTTAATCAATGCTTTCCTCTTCGAACTGACGTGCATTTTACACGTCGGGACTCTCCTCAGCCGGCTAATTGATTCAAATTGTTTTATTGGTTAAACTGGTGTCACCCATTTTCATGATCTATCACCACATGGAGGAGAGCATTTCCACTCCTATCTCCGTTCCGAGCGGCTGCGGTTCACCCAGGCCAAGGACAGGTAAAGGAGCCCAGACGCGGGACCCAGAGGAAAACCACAAACCGAGCTGGCCTCCTCATAACTGGAGAGGCGACGCCTGGAAGCAAGAGCAGGAGGCCAGCACAGCAGCGCATATGAGCTTCCAGCTACAAATTTAAACAACTGGTTGAAGCGAACCCACACTCAGCCGGACCTGGGCCCAGCTTCCTCCACTTGGGACTAAGTCGGTTTCCGAGCCGGCGGTGAACTCTGCGGGATATGAGACCACAACAAAACCCGGGATGGGAACTGTCCGCGGTGCTGACGAGATGCATCGTTCTAAAGCACAGCGAATCCTACTGCGTTCAAGGTCGGGAGGAAGCCTCCCAGCCTGTAATCGAGCCCTAGATTCGGCTCTGGGTGGGCTCGAGCAGAGCCTCATAGACTTAAGAGGCGGGCAAGGGGCAACACAGAGCCACACCCCCTACTTCTCCCACACCTGCCCCATCTCCAAGGACTGAGCAATCCAGCTTCCTCAACCTCACCCCCTTCCTTGCATTGACAGCAAGGAAAATAAAAGCCTCGATAAAAATTCATTACAATCTGAAACACCAGATATGCCCTCTCCTCCCACTCCCAGCTTGGATGTTAAGGAACCCATGACAGTTACAGGTCAGAAAAACAGCCTCTATCCTTCTCTCCCACTCCCTCTTACCCCATTCTCAGGTCTTAGGCAGAAATCTTACTGCTCTCATCTCCCTGATGGAAGTGTCCCTGGCATTGGCATTTCTGCATCAAATAGGGCAAGAAATGCCCTGCAAAAGATGACCCATATGGCCCAGAAAGAAACTGGAAGACTGGCAGTACTGGAAGGGGCAGAAGAATTCTGGTATATTGGAAAGAACTGGGGATTCAGAATCAGATGAAACTGGGTACAAATTTCTCCTCAATCACTGACTAGCTGTGAAATCTTGCTCAGATACCTCACCTCCCCAAGCCCCAGTTTCTTCATTTGCAAAATGAGGAGATTGATAGGTAGCCCACAGGGGTGTTGTGAGAATTAAATAAGATCATATATGCAAAGTGCATGGCACACAGTAGTCATTTAATACGTGGTAGTTTTAAAAGCATTTTCCTCAGAGAATGGGACAAGAGCTAGGACTGTCCTGTTACAAGATACATTAGAAATCTTTAATAGCTCCAGAGTAAAAGATATCAAAAGCATTTTAGCTTAGTGATGAGCAGAGAGGGAACCAAGTTCTCTGGAGGAACATTAGTCCTTTTGTTAAAATTTTATCTGGCCTTTAATTGGTCTAGTCTTTATTTTATATACAGTTGGCCAGAACCCCAGCTAGCATTTGTTTAACCCATTTTAAGTAGATTGACAATAAAGATTAGCAATGATAATGGCCATAATGATAACGATTGCTGATAGCCCTCAGCTCTCACTTTCTACCCTAAAAAGCTTTCTGCAGCCCGGCTCAGACTCCCTGGTTTTCCCTTTATTGCTCCAGCTGTGGCATGGAGCAAACCAGGGACTAGGAGCAAACTCAAGATTTATTCATGATGGAAGTCACAGGATAAATTAGAAAGGGCTCTGAGCATCCTGGGGCTGACTCAATCTTTGAATCTTCTCTGAAATATTGTTTATAAACAAGGGCCCAGTCCAAGAGAAGTACAAGAGCACAAACCAAATATTCTAAACTGGAATTGGGAAGGAAACAGAGCATACTTTGAAGGACCTGTATTCCTGACCCAGTGATCCCTTGAGTTCTTCATGCACCAGTGACTATGGGAATCAGTGAGTTCTTGCACTTCAAACAAGCACCTTTTAAAGAAATAGTGATGGTGGGAGGAGAAACTGAGACTTGGTTTTCCTTAATCAGAGGAAATCTTTCTCACAAGAAAGCTTGCATTTGGGTAAGTGGCAGAGAAGATTCTTACCCTTCTTACCCTGAGTTCACAGGGACTAACTGAAACAGTTGCTATTGGCCTTTCTTTATTGTAACAGAGAACACTTATAAGTCCTCCCAAACCTGTAAACACAGAAAGGCACACACAGGTGCACATCGTTTCCATGAAGTAATAATATCCAGAATGGAAGGTGAAATTGGTGAACTTGGTGGTCACTTAGCAAATATTAGTTGAACAAGATAAAATTCAAAGACACACAAAATATCTGAGGTTACACACAGACCCATGGATGCACAATCCCTGAACACACCTGTGAATATGCATCAAAGAGAAACACTGGCACAGGGAATAAGCCCACTATGCTCTCTCCCTTTTCTCTTTTCTCTTTCTCACTCTCTCTCTGTCTCTCTGCATGTGTACACATAAGTACCCGCCCTCTCCACCCACCTCCTCCCTATATAGGGAAGGAGGGGGTCCTTTGAAATGGAGGTGGTCCCAGCTGGAAAACCCCGGAGCTCATTTAGATCACATCACTTCAGGCTTTTGTCTCTGCTCCTGAATAACCTAGGCCGCTACAACAAAAGGATAAGGCATCTACATGGAGTTTTAATTGGCAAAGATGCATCTCAAAGATGCTGCTATCATAATGAATAACAAGGCAAGATGCTTGCCTTTTCTGATTGTCACTCCTAAAGAAGGGAGAGGAGAAAAAAGGAGAAGGGAAGAGGGAGAAAGTGGAGTAGGAAATAGGATTGTGGAAGATGAAACCACAGCAAGTAATTGGTTGGATTTCTGCAAAAGAGTCTTTAATCATATGAAGACTCCAACTACCACTAAGTATGAGAAATGAGGCCTAGGGCTTATTTTATTTTACAACTGGCTATTTTGTTTCAAGCAACCAGTTTAAGAAGTAATTAAAACCGAGGATGCAGAGAGGGTGTGGAGAGCAGGACCTTTTAAAGCTTGGGGAGGGGAAGCAAAGGAGTGGGCGTAGGGGGAGGGGTTGTAGATTGTAGTTGACATGTCATGAGAGAGATGTACATTTACTATCTCCCCAGCTGACACTGGTGGAAGGAACATTAGATTTTATTTCCTAAGGAAATAAAGGCTTTTTCTTTTTCCTTTTCCTACTGTCTTCCCTGTCTTACCGTCCCCCATCACTCAACTCATCTGAAAAATTTCTACTTTGCCATCAAGCTTGATCCCATTACCTAATGCACTATTAAACTACCATGTGTTCTCTGACTGCCCAATAAGCATAATGCCTTCAGCTTCTCTCCTGCCTGCACACTTTAACTCAGTGGTAGCAAAAGATAAAATTAGATATTAGCAAAGTAAATCCCAGGGAAGAAGGTGATAGAAATCTGAGTCATTGATTTTTTTTTCCCTGAAAATACAGCAACCAGTGAATATGCAGAGAGAATGTTGGGAGAAATTTTTTAAGTAAAAAAAAGGCTTTCGGTCATGTAGCTTAAGGGGTTCCAAGTGAAAGCGCAGCTAAACAGACCAAAGGCAATACCATCCCAAACTTCTTCAAGACACATTATGATATCATCGGCAAACTCTTAATGTTGGCAAATAATTAAATTTTCCATCTTTTAGAACTGTGTAACCTTGGGTGTCTTAGAAACAAATTGTACAAACAAACCATGGAGATGAGCACTGAGGGTTTCAGAGGAGATATAATGAACCAACTTTAATTACTAACTTGAAATTAAAAATGTAATATACAGATTTAAATTTATTTTCACCTAAATTGTGTATAAAATTATATGGCTTTTGCAGGCTAAGAAATGCTTTGTAACCAGCCATGCTACTAAAAAGTCTGAAGTAGTTTCCAAAACTGAGTTCCCAGACTCACACAGTAATAATGATACATTTATCATTACTGATGACCACCTACTGGGTAATTATTGCTTTGTTACTACTATTACAATCAAGAGATTTCTTTATTTACTGTTAACATTCACTTAAAACTGAATGTTAATGACTGTTCTGAATTCACCAAAGAGAGTTTTCTGTTATATTTCAGAAGTACTTACGTCCTGGTTCAGAAATGGAAAACCATATCATAACAGTGGAAGGCTGGGTGAGCGCTTGGTTCTCACCCTCTCTTGAGAATGAAAACAGCATTCTGAGGGTTTCTGGAGCAAAATTTTCCAGCTCAGAGTTGCAAAAGGTTAACATAATGCAGCCACTTGACTTGTGCTAATTATGTAAGTATTTTATTACAGGAGATTCATTCATTATTGATACTTGTTTGCAGTAACTTCCTGCTTGGGGGAGTTATATTTTATATGAGAAGTAAACAACCCATGGCTCCAGGGCTAGCCTCCTCCTCATCTGATTTCCTCCTACCCCTTTGTCTAGTTTCACAACTATCCTCCTTGGTTGGTATGTCCCTATTGAGGTGGAGAGACAATTCCCTAAGAATTTCCTCTTCTCCCCCCATTTTCTTTTCCCATTCAGAACTTCCCTGTTCTTAAAAGGTAGAGCTCAGGGTATGGAAGCGTTGAGGTGGGGAGGAGGTAGTTGAGAAAATAAAATTGGTTTTAGTGTTTTCTTATATGTTACATAAAGAGAAGAGAAAATTCTCATTACAAATATTCTAAGCGTAGATTCTATGAGGGTTGGCCACAAATTTTTCTCTTTGGAAGCTACTCTCAGCTCCTAGCCCAGAAATATCGGAAGTTAGTCTGACCTTTGGTACACCCAGAGGTCAGGAGATGGTCATTTTGGAAGTGTATGTGGTGGATGCTGTTGACCAATGGTCAAGCTCAGAAAGAGGCTCCTTCCTACCTCCTAAGTCAGAACCTCATCTCACAGCTAGTGGTGGTTGGTGCAGTCTACAGTATCTTCTTCCCTGGGCCGATGCCCTGGGAAGATACTGCTCTATGCCCGGTTGCACTAGGAAAAGACATGGCTTTGCTGTGGGATGGCCTCCATGAGCCCCTGTGAAGGACTGCGTTGGCTGCTTGGCCAAGGGACTCTCAGGAGTTTCACTCTAAAAACATGTACTAGCCATCTGAGGCTGTCTATTTGGTGAGAGGCCAGTGTTTCCTAGAGGAGCCAAAAGGCCCTGGCATAGGCCTGCAGCCTAGGAGCAAGGGTTTCTTCTTGGACTTTCTTCCAAGTTCTGAGATCCCTGCTCATGAGTCCCAGTGCAGAGCTGGGATGGATACAAGATGTGAGTTCAGGATGCTCCAGACCTTTAGACGAAGTCCGGAATTGGAGATGGTGGAAGGGCAATGGGAGAGAGCGAAGCAGTTTTGGGGGGAGCACTGTAAAGACTGTGTTCTTGAGGGTTCTGATGTGAGCAGGTGGGAATGAACACGCTGGAAACTGAAGTCTCAAGACTTTGGGCCAGTGTGAAAAGAATGAAATGGTATGGTCTGCGATGGGGTGAGGAGAGCTTTGGGGAGGTGCATGCAATTAGTTGGAACTGGGCAAGTCTTGCCACAGTCCTAAGCAGCACGGTCAGAGCTCAAAATCCAAATTCAGCCCTGGACCTCTATTATCGGGCCTAGAACTTCTGCACTTTGGGCGTAGACATGGGGATAGGTGATGACCGAAGGTCTCAGGTGGCTCTGGGAAGAGCCCTGGGTTGGTGTGAGAGGATGGTGAGAGTACAAGACTGGGTCTAGAAAGGGTGCCCCGGGCTTGGTCAGCACAATCTTCGCTC